CACACACACACACACACACACACACACACACACACACACACACACACACACAATCTGAGTTTATGTAGCCACAAAAATATTTTTAACTGTGTTTAAAATTTCATAATTGAGGTAAATGAGGAAATCAGTGTTTTTTCTATATTTATAAAGAGAGGAATGTGATGTGTGTCCCTGCCTTTTTGGTGAAGAAGCTTCTTTATTCAGTATTTTAATGGAAATAATAATAATAAAATACAGCTGCTATAAGAAACCTTAAACACTTCTTAAATACATAAGCAAACATTTGGTTTTAACATTTAAAATGAGCAGAAATTCACCCTCTGAGCCATTTGTTGTGTTGGCAGCAGAATTTATTGCGCCAAATGGTCCCAGTGTTGTTGCTTTTGATTGGTTGTTGTCAGAGGGGTTCTTTATGAGGCACACACTCACAAACAGGCTGCTCTTTAAAGCCTCAGCAACAAATGTGAATATGTCTGCTCTAAAATAAAACAATTCAAAATATACACACCTTCAATCATTTACGGTACAGCGACAAATAAGTTTTCTTCCTTTTTTTGTGATAATGAAAACAACATGTTTTTGTTTTTCTTCCAGTGAATCTGATGGCAATCACAGCACAGAGGATGAGTCCAGTAAAGGCCAGGAGGAGCTGTCCCCTCGTCCTCTCTCCAATTCTTCAGATGGAGTGATAACACACGGGAGCCTCCCTATTCACACCGGACCCCTGGACGGAGGGGTCGTCATCCAGCAGATTGGGGACATCAAGATGTCCACTGGCTCCAGCAGCGGCAGCCTCTACAATGGAAGCCTCGTTAACACTAACACTTCCTCCTCCACTGTGTTCCACAACGGTGGCTCATCCTACCTCCACTCACCTGGAAACATCCTCTTCAACGGCCTCAATTTGGGCATCCAGCCGTTGGCGTTCAACCCGCTGAGGCCGCCCGGCAGGGTGCTGCTGGGGGGCTCCGGTGGAGACGTGCAGCTGCAGAGCGGACAGGAGAAAGGACTGGGCAGCGCCGAGGAGTCCATCCTGCAGTACTCCTCATACGCCGGCTGTGTRAACGGAGCGGAGGTGAAGCTGGAGGGGGTTCACTCCATGTCCGCCCAGAACGGAGGCGCCTCCGTTCTCACGTTCAGCTCACCCTCAGGTGCTCTGCAGGTGGGCGGCTACAGTCTGGTCCAGGTGCCCGGTGGGGTCTCCGACAACGATGGCAACTCATTACTCAGCAGTGATGCAGGCCTTCCTCCACTGCAGCTCTCCTCTGCCTCGTCTTCCTCATCAATCACGCAAGGTGCGTTCAGCGAATAATCATTTTTGATTTAAAACTCTCAGTGTGACTCACAGAGTTGGACACAAAGACATTAATATACTGTAAGTCTTATTTTGCTGCAGTTTTTAGGACCTTAAAATAAAATTGTTGCTCGTTTTTATCACACTGTGGGCTACTCCAYAGTTAAATCCTTGAACAAACATTGTAATATCATATCTCAACATTACTCTTTCTTAAATCCAACGAATATTTTGCCCATTTCTGGTTGGTTTGTCAACAAGTCCCTTCTGCTCCCTCCACAACATCTCAGCTGCTTCATTAGCTTATCCCTGTTTGGGTCATGGCCAGAGAGGGAGATGCTACACATGACACAGAGAAGAAGAAATAGGGTAGGGACACATACATGTGTATATTTATAGAAGTGGTGGTCCTTTCCAAAGGTCATAGATGAATAAAAACAAGCCATGAAGTCACACACACTCATCATCGCTCTTGATCTCCAGAGCAGGGAGTGTTTTAGCAGCAATAAAATGCATTAACATGGAAATTTGCCATCAAAGATTTTTATTGGCCTCAAAGCAGAAAACAACATGTAGCTGCAACTCTGAGGCTAAAGTTTGCTGTAAAAGAACCTCACGGTAGGAATGGGATCTGCTGCAGTAGATCCAGACRTAACGATTGATCTGTTGTTGTGTCTCTGCAGGTAACATGTCTCTGAATAATGTGGCGGTGAGCTCCTCCAGTGACGACTCATTCCAGCAACAAGACAAGCTGACCATGACGTCTCTGCACCACAGCACAGTCCTGTACAGCATGAACAGTGCCGCTCAGACTCCCATCAAGAAGGAGCCTCTGGAGGGCGGGGTCTAYGCTTCGTACCACCACGGGCTCCACATGGATCCCAGCGGTCAGATCAGCTACTCCAACCCAAACTCTGAGGAGATCTCCTCCAGCCACCACGCCACCTCCACCAGCGAGGTCGCGGCCGTCAGCTCGGCCAGCCCCGATTCCGAGGTCTACACCACGCTGACCAACAGCAACCCCTTGATGGCACCAACAGACCCAAACGCCAACCACCTACAACCCACTGAGTACCTCGTGACGCACGAGGTGCCACGGGGTGCCCCGTCCTCCCACCTGATGGGGCCCAGCTTGAACAGCGACTACATGAACCTTTCAGAAACCAAGGCGGACGGCTCGGGGGCGGGGGGCATGAACGAGATCGTGCAGGCAATGTGCGGAGAAATGGATGCGGCGGAGGGGAAGGAGCTGGCCAAACTACAGACAGTACAGATGGACGAGGACATGTCTGACCTTTAGCCTCACACCTCGCCCSCTCACAGATGCACTCACCTGAGCAGTGACACCACGAATCTTTTTACTCTTTTGGCGTGTGTGTGCGTGTGTGTGTGCGCGTGTGAGTGTGTGTTCTTTTAGCTAATAATTTCCTTTAAATTATTTGCTTATATTTGACTTTCAAGATGCACTCTTGTCAGAGGAGCTCTGTGGGCGGRCTCAATGAGTTTGTCATGAAAATTACAAAAACCTGTGTTTTTTTTTAACAAGACAAAACATTTCAACTGTTACAAGCTAACACAAGTAGTTTCTTTATGCGTTTGAGCCTCGTTTAAATGTGCATTTTTTTTATGGCCAACACCTGCTACTTCCTGTTGAGAGGATTTGATCTGCAGAAGCAGGTGCTGGRATGCCTCGAGTCACGTGACTGGGATGTTCCTCCAAAACTAAATGCGTCATCCGGGTCAAACCAAAAAGGTCATCTTGAAGGGGGTGGTGGGTGTGGGGGGAGAGGAGCCACTATGAAAGTTGTCACTTAAACAGCTTTACTGAAGGATTGCAGAGAAATGGTAACTAAAAAAAAGTTGCTGATTTAGATAATAAATAAATAAATAAAGAGAAGTGTCCTTCAGTAAGCACTTTAATCCCTCAATACTCTTTAAGTCACTGCTAAAATGCTGCTTTTTGTGCTTTTTAATCTCATAAAACAAATTAGGAGCCTTAAATGTGGAGGAGAGGAAAGTGAAAAAGAATGTGCCTTTCTGATACAAAAAAAAAAACACTCATTGGTCTGTTTTGACATTTGCACTACCATGATGACATTACAACATTTCAGGCAACCTCTATGTTGAAAAGGTTTGTCAAGTGTGACACACCCCAAACRATGCACACAGTGGCGGCAACGGCTCCTTTTTTAGGTCTCATCATGGAGCCACAAGACCGAGACATAAATGAATTTTTCACTTTATGTCATTTATAATGTTGCAGCTGACATTAGGTTTCATTTTGAGCTCCAAATATTTTTCTATAAAATCAAATAAAAAAAAGCACACTGAGTTTGGTTTTAGACGTCCATAAAAGAACACATATTTAATGCARAGAGGATTAATTTCTCTTTACATCCCACTATTTTGGACACGAGTGCCTTTTTTTTACATTTAACGTGTGGTCAGCAGAAAAAATGTCTCCACCAAAGATGTCGCTCCTGCAACATTTGTTTGGTGTCACACAAAAACMGGCTGAAGCCCATTTGTCAAACAGGTCTTTTCACAACAAGAGCCCAAGTTTCTTTAAGTCATACGTGACCATTATAGCACATTTACACTTTCATCAGTGAATCATATGTTTTCATCCTGATGGATTTTTGTTGACAGGATATTTCAGTGACGGTTTCCTCAGTGCTTTAATGTCACAAACCAAAACACTCTGAGCAAAAAGTTAGTTTTTTTTTTAGTTTGAATTGTATGTTTGTTATCTGAAATTACGTGAATGTATTTTTCTAAATCTACATACTGCAATAAAAGTTTATATTTATAAAATTGTAAAACACAGTTTGGATTCTTTGTAGCAATTTTAGCTTTAAAAATAAATGTGTCTTTTAAAAGACATAATGGGAGTTTATTGACRGACAAAAAGCACATGTCCTTCCAAAATTTAAAAGTCCCAGTGCAGCTAGATTGTTAGGATGGTGGGGCGGTGGGAGGCATAGAGGGGGCTGTAATCCAGCAAGCCTGCTGCAGCTTTCAGCAAACCTGCGGTGATCGTTTGCACATGTCCGGCAACCTGGAGTTCATTAGGCCTCCTTTTCTCATCCCAGCCCCTGTAATTCAAATAAACAGCAATGAGATTTCCAGAAGTAAAGCTCCTTTTGGGTGGGGGGTCTGAAAGCTCGCCACAGTTCAGTCCAATCCAAAGGTTTTTTTTTTTGTTTTGTTTTTTTCTCTCTCTAAAACGCATGCCAAACCCCCACCCCAGCCCACCCCTCRCCCTCAACATTTGGAGAAATGAATCTGAAGTGCTGTCACTCACTCAGCGCAGAAAACAGCCCTCAGTCCTTTTCACGGTTTCGTGGAATTCTCTGTAAATTTGTGAATTTCCACCAAACCAGTGTGCAGAAATATGACGGGAATTTTACTGAAGAGTTGTGTCCCCCAGCGGCTCCTGCCTACAGAACTATACGATCCAGTCCGTGACCCAGAAAGACAAAGGCTGTTAGTCTGTGCTCACTGTTGAGGCACAGAGAAGGAGAAAAAAAGAAAGGCCATGCAGGGACTAAAGGGAGGGAGAGTCAGGCGACCGGGATAAAGTTACCTGTGCACAGGTGACCTCGTCGCCATGGGCAGTGGATTAGCTGATTGTTAGGTATCAGGTGACTCCTCCTGTAATATTGAAGAGGGTGAAAAGAGCTTTGTTGGAGCCCAGAACAATATCCCATTTGCAGCAAAGAGCCCATGGTTTTTCGATCTCACGGGGAGGGGGAGACGGAGGAATCGGCAAATTCCACTATTCTGTTCATGAATTAGACAGAATTCACAACTGCTGCATGTTTTTCATTAAATGTACTCCATCAAGTTAAAAAAAAGGTCAATTTTTGACTGTTTTCTCTGAGAGTCAAAACCAGGACATCCCTGAATAAGTGGGCCATTTTGTCCACAGTTTAAAACACCCTTGACTGTGCTGTAAAAGAGAGGGAACTCCCCCAGAACTCTGGCCTTATTAAAAACACTGACCTTTGATCTTTTAGATGGTTTCAAAGCTGACATTTAATGCGGCGCAGCAGACTGCAAGCCACATGTAACATGACCTGGTGAGCGAGGTACTCCACCACTCTACGTCCCACTAATGAGAGGGCAAGGGTCAGCGGGTACTAGCCGGCTACAGACCCACCACTTTCTGGCCCAAGCTGGTCCTGGCAGAAACACTTTGTTTGAGTTGTAAGAATATGTCCTTGTGAGGTTTTTTTTTTTTATTCCCCCTCCAGTAGCTGTTGCTCAGAGCAAATGGGAAATATGCACGTCTGCTGTTGCCCATCACTCAAAAAGGAGGAGGAGGAGGAGGAGGGGGAAGCAGTGATTCACAGATTTGTCCTGGACGACAAAACATAACTCACGAGGACAGTTTTAGGTGTTTGACTCTGACACAGAGGCAGCAGCTGTGAGGGCAGCATGGCAGCCGTGGGCAGAGGTATTTCCCAGAGAGAAAAACACAACGCTGAAACAGGAGCGGAGCATGTGAGCCCTGAAGTGACCAGATCATCAACACACACACACGCACACACACACACACACACACACACACACACACACACACACA